CACTATATACCATATACTTGCACAAAAAGAGCCTGTGTTGTAATGAAAATAAAGTAGCAGCTTTAACGCATTTTTATGGCTCTTATTCCACTGTCAACCGCATGCAGCAGCCAGCAGCCAGCAGCCGAGGTAAGCAAAACAATAACAGCACGGTTCGTTTTCGAGCAGTGAAGCGAGGATTTAGGTGGAGGATTCGCGAATGAGGACGACCTCGACGCACCTGCTCTATGCAAATGAGGTTGAGGGGTTGCAATGTGGAAGAATGGAGAAGAATGGGGAAGAAGGGGCTCCTGAAATCGTAAAATCCGTCAATTCGCAGGCTCATTGTCTTCAATTTTCGGGGGCTAGCAATCAAGCGGACGACCTCTTTGGGAGCGCATTGCGGGCAGATTGGCGCTCGTTTTGTAACACACTAGCAGGTATTATAAAATAAATTAGATATTTGTGCATGCAAGTGCTTACATTCGAGGAGGAAGCCTGATTAAACCTCATAACAAATGACCTATTTAATGTGTATTATTTGATAAAAATCTTGCTATTTTTTAATAGACTCTTTAATCGAGTATTTTTTTAGCTTATCTAAATTTATTGACACCTTTATTATAGGTCTATACTTGCTGATTGAACTAAAAAAAATCGAAATTTCGCTCTTTGTTAATTTCAATCTATTTTTATTATTTTTTTCTTGGTATTTGGGAAGTCATAAAAATAAATAATGCCAATTTGAGTTTCTTAATGAGTTTTAATATTTATCATTTAACAAAATGGTTTCAATAAAGACTCAAAACTAGTATAGTTTTAGATAAATCATGTATGCATACATTGAATACATATTTATCTTTAATTGATTTGGTAAGCCATCATAAAAATACAGTTTTATTGCCAGCATATCAATGGTTTTCAATAATGATTCTCAGCCAATTAACTGCACTTTCATGGCTCTCAGTTATGTTTTTCAGTTATTATTAATCATTATTAACCCATTAAATTGTCAGATTTACAAGAATACAATAAAATCCACCGGAATTGCACTTCATTTAAAAGTTCAACAATCGAATTCTTCTTTCTTTGTACGACCATATCTAATTTTAGATAAAAATATCTGTTAGAATTATAGCGTTTTTGGATATTGGCATTGGAGGAGCAGATATCGATCCTTGGTGACCGCACAATCTTCCTTTCTTCTTTTTTTTAGGAGGGTGAGTGGAAAATCGGGTGGAAAAGTCCGTCCCTGGTTGGTTTGGCGCTTTTCTTGGACACTCTGTTTGCTCGCGTCTGCCGGCAAAATTTATGCGGTCCAGGCTAATCCTCGTGGGGATTTGAGCTTAAAACGTTTTATTGTTGCCCCACGACGTAGGCGCAGACAGTGGGCGTGGCTGTCGGCGGGGGCGTGGCACACACGGCTGTCGACTGCAGATTTCCCAGTTGCCTTGTAAATTTATCGCATTAAAACAAAAAAGTGTGAATTTTCAACACAACGTTGTCTGTCCCTCTCCTTTGTCTTTTCCCCATCAACTTCGCCTTTTTAATTTCTTTTGTGTCCCCTCTTGAGCTGCTTTCCACTACTCATCGTCCTTCATCCAAGTACCACCCACAACACACCACCCACAAACCACCACCCACTTCACCTTGCTGCCGCCGCTTGACACTGTCATTATGTAAATTAAATTGTGGCGAATTATTGTTTTATTCTTATTTTCGGTTTTGCCTCATCCTTGCCTTGAGTTTCGTTGTTTCCCCCCCCCTCATCATATCCGTAATTTATGTATATGTTTATTTATTTCTCCCCCACTTTCATCTGCTGGCTGTCGCCGCTTTTGCCGTTCGAGTGTATAATTCATAATTTGGGGTTTTGTTCCTGTTTCAGTTGCTGTTGCCGCCTCTCTCATATCGCATATCGCTGACAAAGCAATAAAAGTTTTCCCAGCAAGTTAACAAATCACCGGGGAAACTGGCCCAGAGGCGTGGCACCTGCTCGTGGGCGGTGGTGGCAGTCGGCGGAGACTTAATCAGGGGCACTGAATGCGAGTGGGAGCCATTAAACTTAGCTAATATCTAGCGTCCTTTCAAATTTGGGACATTGAATTTGCCAAATATAACAATTTATTGCATCGTTGTAGAACAATTTCAAGAGATTTCAGAGCATTTTAGATTTTTGCAGGGCACTCAAATATGTAGAATTGCAACTTACTTATTAAATTTTTAATTTTAAAAAAGATATTTTATTTGTTGTCGAGTTAAAAATGTCTGGTTTCTAAAATGTTCCATGACTTCGAGTTTTGATCTTAAAATGCTAATAATTATATATGTTTTTGGATGTATTTTCAAAAGGAGAGTAAGGTAAAGCCTAAGAAATAATATCAGCAAACTTAGTATCCTTGATTTAAGTTTGCTAAATCAGAACCCATAAACAGTAAGATATGTTAAACAAAAATTGTTGAAATATAGGTAGGAAATAAAAATATTTAAGTTTTTGAAACAAAAAATCTCTTTCCACCTAGCCAATCTAAAGTTTGTCTTCGCAGTCCCTGTTACACGTTAACAGTGCATAAATGGACCATTACTGCTGGCCAAGTCAATCGTCATATTGCCATATTTACCGACATACTGATGGGGATTCGACTTAGCTCCAGAGCTGGGTATTCCTTGCTGCCACTCTGCTAAACTGATGGAAGCAGCCATCGATCCGTTTCAATTAGCAGCAACAGTTTAAGTAAACTTCCCTTCTTCTGCCAGCAGCTTAGTGTCTGCTGCCAACTGGTTTCGTTTCGTTTCGTTTCGCCTTTGCCTCTGACCGCCCATCAACCGCTCGACTGTTAATTAAGGCCCAGGGTAAAAGACAGCACCCGCACACATGCAGATGTTCGTGTCCACAAGGAGGACAACTAAAATTTCATCCTTTAACTTAAAAGACTACCACAGTCTGAAATAGTCAATTCAGAGGTCGGATATTCCACCAAAACACTAGGAAACATTGGTTTTTGTGTATTTCGTTATTAAATTTACAATCGATTGGCATTCACATAGCTAAGCTGCGAATTTTGGTTTTGGTAAATTTTCGAATAAAATGCAAAAGTGGAAAAACCACAATATTCAAAATCAGTCTTAGTTGTTAGCTGCACAAATTTATATAAGCCTCAAATTTTTTTAATATTATCTCTCTGTGATAAAAAGTAGATATTTATGAATGCGAATTATGGATAGAAATTGGAAATCTCTAGCAAAGAAATTTTTTAGTGTTTTGATTGTCAATTTTCGTATTGCTTTTTTTTACACATTTTTTTAATGTTAACAACAATATAAATGTTGACATATTTCTTTCTTATTCCTTTTTGGGATTATAAATGTAAAAAATTCGATGGGATAAAAGCAAAACCCAAATGAAAACTGAAACTGAAACAGGAAAAAGAAAAAGAAAGAAAAAGAAAAAATCGTAATATAATGAAAAGTAGATTTAATTTAATTTTATTTTTGGGTCTGCTGGCAGGCTGAGGGAAAAAACATAAACAAGCAAAGCGAATCGCATCATAATAAACGGCTTTTGATGGGCGAAGGAGTTTGTGTGAAGGGGGGGGGGGGGGCTGACCTCTCAGGAGGTCCTTAAAGGAAACGCTTTTGGGCCAGGACTCGGCGCACGTGATTGATGTCCGCCCATTGTGGCCTCCATAATGGGCCAGTGAATGATGTTCGACAGATTCTCTGCTACGCTCTGCTTGCAAGGGCAAGAAACTTCGGGTATATTGGGCTGTCAATATCAAAATGTTTGTCCGCTTAACTAGGGAGTGCGTAATTCATGTCCCGGACTTAAACTGACAACCACAAAGACACAAAAGAGAGCAGGAAACCACAAGGGGAATGGTCTAAACAAAACTAGAAAGAGAGGGCGTCAAAAAGGCAGAAAAAGACGGCATTCAAAAAGCCAGAAAAAGAAGGCATTAAAAGGCCGGAAGGAGAAGAGCACTCCTTTGTCTCGCTTTGTTTGTCTTCTAGGCTCGTCGTGTTTGGCACCGCCTGGCCACACCAATAACGATACATCAAGGACACTTAAGGACATGTCGCCGACACTTGGACCAAAGACAATCCCACATCCCCCGAAAATCTGGCCAACCTGGCCAAGCAAATCATAAAAATCAAAGGAAGGCTAACAAACGGCACAAAAAATGGCAAGAAATAACGACGAAGTCGAAAGAATTAACAACGCGTCAAATCAGGGCCAGCTTAGAACAGTTTAATGCCACAATGCCAGCCCCCCTTTTATGATGGACTTTTATTGCCTGCGTTTATGTTTGCCATCCATTTACCCCCGCCTTCCCGCTTTTCCGCCTTTCCGCCTTTTTTTGCATGTTTTCCGTCGGGACGTGAAATTATTTTGCATGTCGCGCGCCATAAAAACTCAACGGCTAGCAAATTTGGAATAAACCTTCCAAGTCACCCATCGTAATGTCCGGGCTCAAAGGCATGGGGGAAAGGCTATAAGTTTTCCCATAAAAAGAAAAGCCGAGCCAGAGCCATCTGTAACCGAAATGAGCAGATTTCAGAGCTAAGTTTCCATATTCGCTTCAAGGGAAGAGGCGATCTCTTCAAAAAGCTATTAAATAGAGCTCTGGTGGAAGATACATTTATATATCAACTGTTGACGGTCAGTTTTTTATTTTACAAAGTTTCAATGTTTTTTTTTTTTAATGTATATGTATAGTGCTGTTCAACTTGTTACAGAAACGTTCGATATTTCCTCTAAAAATTGAATTTAAAATTGTTTATGCATTGTTTGTTTTATTTATTTATTATTTTACGACAAACAAATATTTGACTTTTCGCTATTAAAGCAAAAACATAGTGACTTCTTATTTATTTATATTTGTTAATTTATTTTAGTTTTTTTATTGAATTTTAAAGATTAAATATTTATAAAGCAGCAAACTATTTTCTTAAGAGTGTTTTGAAATTTTTTTTTTCAAAACTACTTCTACTAAATTGAGTACAACAGGGCGGATACTTACTCATGATCATGGCTGTGCTTGTAGGAGTCGCGGAAGCGCGTGCGCAGATTTCGCCGGCTGTCGCCACTATCATTCACATGTCGATTGTGTGAAAGTGCAGCTGGCAGGAGCAGGGCCATTTCTACAAAGAAAGCGAAGAGAAGAAAATGCAGCGTTATTTTTTGTGAATTCTTTAGTCATTCTCGTGAAATCAATTTCGTGGTGTGAAATCCCAAGAGCTCAATACTTTGTGGCTGCTTTTTGTGTGTCTCTGCGTTGGTCTGTGCGTTTAAAAAGCACGCATAGCCGCCATAATTCAATCACTACTCGCACCCCCCAAAACACATACACTCGACGGAAGCGGATGTACTATGTGCATGCGTGCCGGAGCGCCAGGGGCAGCATTACGTTTTCCGCATTCACCATGTTGTTTGCCCTGTCGGTTGCCCTTTTCCCTTTTCCCTTTGCCCTTTTCCATTTTCCCTTTGCCATTTTCCCGCTTCTGTTTTTTCTTCCCGCTTGGAATCAAAACATGCCATTAGCAGGCGACCAAATAAAAAAGCAAAGCAAACAGAATGTGCTGGATACAGGCCCCCCTGTGTTCCCCCATCATCCAGCCGCAGATTGCATAGAAATGCGAACCGCACTGCCATTCCCCCCAATCCTCATCCTCCTGCTGTCACGAAGCCAGCGACAACACGTCAGGCACCGCCAACACCAACACCAACACCAACACCAACACCAACACCAACTCCAACAACAATAACAACACCTTGGATGACCCGACGTGCCGCGGGTGCAGAACGATGCCACATGCCCCGTACACTCCAAAAAGTTACAAGTCATAAGGGAGCAGGCTGACAAACAATTTCTTAACTCTTCAGTTTTTCCTCTTAAGGAAAAAACCATAATAAAATATGTAAAATCAAGTTGCAACTTCTTTAAGTAATAATCTGTCTAGTTTGTATTTAATTTTAAAACAAATTGATCAAGAGGAAACGACTATTTTTTAATTAAATTATACCCTATTATTACCCTATACACTCCAACAAGTCACAAGTCAAAGAGGCGAAAAACTTCCCATCGAAATATCAATTTCAACTGACTATCGATCTTCCAATTTCTCTAATCAACAATTTAACTAATTTAATTTAATATAACATTTAATTTCTCAAAAGGAAAAACCTATTTTTTAAATAAATTATTAAATCGATGATTAGCATAAGTAAATTCGATTATTTGTGGGAATGCTTGCTAAGCTTCTGGGATTATTTAAATTAATATTTTTACAAGCCGTAAAAAAATAGGTGTTTGAATTTTAATAAACATTTATAGGTAGCTATAGTTTTATATATATTTTATATATATTAACGCTTCAAATTAAACATATTTTATAGAAACAGCTAATTATGTAATTTTTTAAACAAATTCTCAATAACTGTTTGAAACAAGTAAGCAGTAGATATGTCTGAAAAATTCGCGATAATTTAGTTTGTTTCGGATTCCAGAACCTAATTCAGCTAAATAAGAAAACAGCTAAAGAAGTTATTAAAAGTATTTTAAAATTTAACGTATTATAATAAATTCTTAAAAAAATATATTGAATGACCATTAATTTACAAAAGTTACTAAAAATATATTAAAATTAAACTGATTATAATGAATTCTTTAAAAAAATATATATATTAATTTTTAAATTTTGAATTAATCCTCGATAACATAATCCTTTTTCGCTCTGTGCACTGCTCTTTATGCTCTCCTTTGATTTGCCACTGTGTTTACCCGATATAATTTACGTGTGCGATTTGTTTGCTGTTTGCGCAGGAACATGGTGCCCTCGAACACTCAAAGGTTTTCCACCGAATCGAGGAATCGAGGCGGCGGCGAAAAATCCATTGCTTTGCCTGTCATGGGGCGAGTGCTCATTCAGTTCAGAAATCGGTAATCATCTATTCAAAATTATTGTAGTTGTATTCGGTAAATGTGTAGAGAAAGCGTCCCCTGCATCAGATTGACGCATTTAGCGACCACCGACGGACCACCAACGATTATTGATCGATTAGCGATCGATTAGCTGCCAAGGAATTTATTGATTTCCGCGGAAATTGCACGCAGGAGCGAAGGGAGTCATGTTGGGCAATCTGCCGTATGTGGAGTTCGGCGAACGAGGCGACGGCCACCATGTGAACGGAGACGGAAACACAAGAAGACACATGCGTTGGCTGGAGAGGCGCCAGCGGATCCACGAGCAGGAGCGGATCCGCGAGCGGACCAGGCAGCGGAGTTCCGAGAGGATAAGCCCTCCGAACGGAGGCGAGCAGTCCGGACGACAGGCAGCCGCGTCCAAGAATCCCATTCCGGCGGTCCTTCGACTTGTCAAGGAACTCCAGGTATGGATTTAATACTACCATATCTATATTAATTTGCTATATTTGATGATCAACAATGTAGTCGAGCTCTTTGATTTGAAAATGGGTCGACTTAAATTAGCCATCAACATACATTTACTAAGCCATTAAAGCACTTTGTTTTGTAGTTATTAAAAAACTTGATTAGTAATTAACTTAGTTTTTAAATTATTAAAACGTTTCGTTTTTTTATTAATACAAATTTTTTTGTTGATTTATTTGAAAAAGGCTTTGTTTTTAATTTAAATATTAAAATAGCTTCTAAAATATATTACTTCATTTAATAGGAACGATTTAACATACACAAATCACTATTTGCTGGTAATTTTTTTTGTAATAATTGGTTATCTTATGAGTAAACATTGATCGTCATTGATCATTATTTTTTTTAACCATTGTTATCCAGAGAACTTAAAATGTTCATGAGGTTTGTCCAACAAATCACATTTTTGTCTGGAACAAGAGGTACTGAGCAATTAAAAGCCCTTTACTATCAATTCTCGCTTAATTACGAAAAAATCCAATTTTTTCCCAATTTTGGCAAAAACTGGTTAATAGTAAAATGGTTTAGTTGTGAATGCCACTTGATTGAAAATTGTACAACGAACTCATCGCTGTAGGACATTTCTTTGTGCAGCTATGGAGCTATGTGCAGCTATTTTGAACAAATAAATAAATCGTGACTTTTTTATCCAATATTTACAAATAACAAAACTTTTTGTTTGTGAATGCCATTCGATTGGAAATTAAATAACGAGTACAAGAGAGTTAGTTCAAATTGCTAGCAAAATGTTCCTGCAATTTGACTAAAAAAATAAAGGCATTTTTCGATGGCCAACTTGGCCAAAGCTTATGTGATATAGACATGTTTGTTATTTTATTTTATTTTATCATCCCCCACAGTTAATGGAGACCGATCCGCCGGAGAACACGTGGGCGCGGCCCAAGTCGATGAGCAATCTGCTCAAGTGGCGGGCCAAGATCCGCGGACCGGAGGGCAGTCCGTACGAGGGCGGCGTTTTCGAGCTTGCGCTGAACTTCCCGGAGGCCTATCCGTTCGAGGCGCCCAAGATGCGCTTCATCACGCCCCTCTACCACTGCAACGTGAACGGGCTGGGCTACATCTGCGTGGACATGCTGGATGAGAAGTTGTGCTGGTCACCTGGCCTCACGGTGGACAAGCAGTTGCTGTCGGTGTCGGCGCTGCTGAACGACCCCGAACCGCTAACCGCCGTCAATGCCGAGGCCGCCGGGCTGTTCTTCAAGGACCGCGAGCGGTACGACCAGCTGGCCCGCTCCTGGACCGAGCGGCATGCCATGGATGTGCCGTGGGATTGAGGCGTGGCTTGTGGCTCTCCATATTGTCGATATGTGGTCGAGTGGCGTGAAGATGGATGGAGATGAAGCCGGAAATGTTTTGGAAAAGGTTTCTTCGATTGTAGGTCGCACATGAGCATTTTAAAATAAACATATTGACGGAGTGTCCTCTCTCTCACTCTCTTCAAACTCGCCTGCCTGGCTGTCCATATGCGTTGCATAATTTTAGGCTCTGCCATAACTTATGCAAATTTAACGAGCCAAGTGCTAAGCACTAAGGGGGGAGAGTGCGGCCGTGCGGCCGTGCGGCAGTGCGGCAGTGCTGGTTACGGCCTCTCACTCACACCCATTTGCATAATCAAATGCCATATTGTTGAACGGCAAACCCCTCCTCACCAAGGTCCTTCCGCTTAAATTTCGCCTTGGGCATATTCACTCGAAGTGAAACTTTGCCAACTGACTCGAAAGTTGGGACGCTTCGACTTAACCGAGAGTTTCGAGTTTTGAGTTTCTAAGCTCAACACCAGGTGCTGCTGCATGTGATCAGATCAATAGTTATTTTAAGTTATGCCAAAATCTGTTCCAGTCGATTACCGATGCATAAATCTAGGCAAGTCGAGTGCTGACAACAGAAAATCTGTTTCATATTCCATTTCTTTAAAATATGTACGGTTAGCCTGTAATCTTGAGCAAATTGGAAACTGTATAAGTATATATAAATAAACATACTTGATCAAATTGTCTAAATCACCATTGGATGAATCGCTTTATATTTAAAAAATATCTTTAAAATATTCGATGCTGTATGCAGATTCAATGGTAAATGATAATTAAATTAATATGTTTTGTTTAGTCTTCTTAGAAAAATTGCCTTTCATATTGTAAATATATTTTTAAAATTGGAAAGTGTAAACATCAATAGCCAGCGCTAAATATTTCATACAAACTAAATAATAGAAAAAGGATATTTGAATAAATTAGCTAATTATTTTTTAAGAATATTTTAAACAATTCAATTCAATGTATATAATGAAAATAGCCAAAGGTAAATGATTTTTACCAAATAAAGATATTTTATTCAACCGTCTGCCTTTATCATTGGTGATCGTACTATGATATTGAAGCACCAAAACGTAGAGATTGTTAATAAAGTATATGTTGCATTGTTAAATTTGTATGCTAGTAAATGCATTTCCTTGAAATAGACAGGGTATTTTGGGGTCTGCGTCTGATTAGCTCCCGTCCAAAACCGTGGCGGTGGCACTTCATCGTTTATCGCGGACGATTACCAACTTGGCGACCAAATAGTTGAGGTGACATTCACACTCACAGCCGCCAGTTAATTGGAATTTAGTACATGGCAACATCAGTGTGTGCGGTGTGTGTGTGGGTGAGTGTTAAGCAATTATTTTTATAACGTTAATGAGCACAGCGCATTATTGTGGATGATGGGAGTGGGAATGGGAATGGGAATGGGTTCGGATGGGTCCTCGAATTTCGGTCTGGGCTTTTCTGGTTTTGGGGTTCAGAAGGCCAACGCGAAGGCCAAAAGTACGTGCACGTGTGGCAAATGTCGCACAACAAAACCGGAAAAACGCAAAGAAAAACCAAAAACGAAAAAAAATCCAAGCAGCCAGCCGAAAATTGTGTGCAACTTGAGCATGAGTTTGTGAATTATGTAGATGGCAATTACTGCAGAGTTTTTTTCACCAAAAGGGGGACTGATCTTGCATTTATTATGGTTTCAGGGGAGAGAACTCCTTTCCACCACTTTCCATCACCATTTCTGACGCAGTGGCTCCATAAATTTTGTCGTTGCTCCGCCGCCATTTACCTGTCTTTACCTTTCACCTGTTTGTCTTTCCGGCCACGCCCCCGCGCCTTTGTTTACCTTAATTATTGCCCATGTGCGTGTATCCTTCCTCCTTCTACTGGAGCTACACACACAGACACACACACGGAGCAGCTTGTTTGTTAGCAATTAAGTTGGAATTAGAAAATTTTTAATAGCATACTTAGGGGCGCACCGCACTGACATATTCCGTTTCCGTTTCCTGTGTGTGCCGGCAACAAATTGAATTTGGGTTGGCTAGAGTTACACACAAAGCGATGTGAATGTGTGAAGAGGATGTGCAGGTGCTCACAAGGAAGTTGAGTCAAAAACTAATAGTCAACTGAACGTTATTAACTCTCGCTTTCGCAAGTTTTGTCGGTTATCACAGAAAGTTATTCAGTTTTTGCCAATCTCCAAACAGCAATTAACTTTAACATCTGTGCAATGTTTTTTAAGCTATTCAAAAATGGAATTTTACTCCAAAGTTTAGTTTCGCATTACTTAAAAAGATTAAAAAAAAAATTATAATGCCATTCTTAGTGATATTAAGAAGCTAAAACCTCGGTAACGTATTACATTTTTAATTTTTTTTTTTTTGGTTATTTAAACAAAAGTACTTAAGACCATATTTGGTGTGCATTTTTTTTGTTTTGAGGCTTTAAGTATTTTTAAATTCCCAAATTATTGATCGTGGTCGTTGCATTTCTAGAGTTTAAAGTTTATCTAAAAAAAATCCCACAAATGGAGAAGCTTGCAAAGGTAGTCAAACCTTTGATTTTTGCCTCAACATCTGTTTTAAACGACGGTTTTAATGTGTAAAGCTACAAATGTATCTGTATCCGTATCCGTATCTGTTTCTCCTTCGCTAGTCCTGCGGCTATTGTCTGTGGGCTATTTGCAGCATAAACACAACCGCCCTTGCACCCCACACACACACACACACACACACACACGAAGGCGGGGATGGGGGAGTGGCAAGTGCTAAAAACAATAAACAGCTTAAGCGCATTATGAGCGTTAAACACACATACACAGACAAATACACCCACGGACACTCCCACAGCCGGACAGACACACACACAAACACACACACACGCACTCACACGAAGGCGGGGAAACGCCTTAATTAAGATTTCCTCGCAGGATGCCCAGAAACCCAGGACAGTACAAATGTAACTGTGTGCCAGGATATACATAATTGCGGTCCAATTATGAAACAGGTTGAAATGTAGTGGAGATGGGTGAACTTGTCGGTTCCGATTTGCGTTTCGCACTAAATACAGATCTGCAATTACAACTTCTCATTCATTTGTGGCGCATTAATCTCTATTTCATACAATTTTAATTATACATTGCAAACATTGAAACACCAGCCACACAAATCAGCAAACCGGAGTGGAGTTTAGTTCGAATTGCATGCTCTGATGTTTATATATTTGTTTAAAATCCCAAATGGAAACCTAAATCGGGAACTCGTTTAATTCAAGTTATCAGAAAAACGATAACCCCTCATTTTACCAGCGATATGATTTTTCATTTATTTTAAATCATTTTCGTTTCGTTTGGTTTGGAATATTGTTGCCAGCGAATACTACATACTTATTATTGCACACAAATTTGGTTCAAATGCCTAATTTGAATTAAATATGTAATTATATTAAAACGATTTTAGCTTAAAAACAACATAGAATTTAACGAACAGCTAAATTTCCAAAATTTGTTGCCCCTTCCCCTTTAGTGCGACAATCCAAAGTGCTGATAATATTTTGTGGGCAGGTCATTAGGTATTGTTTCTACTTTGCACGCATATTTTGAGCAAAATATTTTAAATACACACATCATTTGGCGAAATAAACTGTGGCAGCGCTAATCAAATCCCTTCAGATTGCATGTACATGTGCAAATATGGGCTTCGATTGGGACGGTCGAAATCAGTATTCAATAGGCGGAATGCATAATAATTGTTTTGCAACATTATTTAACAAGGGAGTGAGTCACATTAGTATGTACATAAATACACTTCCAATGTTGTATTATTCCATAAATTTTGGGTACATATATTTAATTCTTAATCATCAATACAGCTTTTAAGTCTAAATTAGTTATTTTTTATATTTTGCCACACCAGACATTAGTCTAGTTTTTAGCTGATAATACTACATATTATTAAATTGCCAAGCAATTTGAAATTATTTTAGTTCGCCGGTTTATGTTTTAAGTGCAATGACGACACTTAATTGTTTTTCCCTCCATACTTTGCTGCCATTAAACAGGAAACACCTTCCAGGTGTCCGACGGCCAGCATTAAAGTGCCCAAGAGCATGTGGCTGGGCTCTGGGAAAATGTTCTGCCCAGTGTCTACTAACAATGTTGCCTTTCGCCCCAATTAATAATGGCTTTTTACCCATGTTCCGTCCTCCAATCGGACGCATTCATCTATGCAGTTGGCAGCTCCATTCTTGTGCTTCTGCATGCGGTTAAATAATATTTTAATGGCGGCAATCAAAGTTTTAATTAAACGCTTTAAGAGTTGTGCTGTGCACACATGTGCCTTAGGAGCAGAGCAAAAAAAGGCAACCAGAGGGTTGAAACTAAATCCAAACAAGAGTGGGTGGCAGAGTGGGCTGGAAAAGTGGGTGGCAAAGTGGCCGAGTGGGTGGGCACGTCCAAGGCTAATGGAGCGCAGGCAACCCAAAACATAAACAAAAACTTTCGCAGCGATATTTTAATAGTTTTCCCCCGCTCACGTCTTTTGTCTGTGTTTTTAAGCCGGCGGTGACACTTAGCCAAATATAATATGGCTTTTATGTCAGCCACTTGCAGAAAATTGCTTTGGATCGGGTGATGTTGGAGGGGGTCGGGGGAAGGGGTAGGGGTTTTTTTTTCGCTCTGTGACATTTTTTGCTGCCTCCAGTTTTTCCAGTCCCCCTCGCCAGCCATTTCCCGATTTTCAGGCCCTTGCTCCTGCAGATGCTTCTGCTGCTTTCTTTCACGTACTCTGGCCTTCTTGTTTGGAGTTTGGCAGATCCGTTTTTGCTTTGGCTTTGGCTTTGGGCTGTGCGGATGCGGAATGCACGGCAAAAAATAATCACCAAACCTTCTTAATTATTTATACATTTTTAAATTCAAAAGACTCTTCCACAAAACTACTCTTTCGAATGCAAGCTAAAAACTACTCATTAAAGTACATGTTTAAAATTGTACTTTAAAGCTAGGATTTAGTTTATAATTATTATGACTTTTAAAGGTTTATTAGGCATGACAATTTTATCAATGGTACATGGTACATATAAACTAAGTTTTCTTACCTATGTTCAAATCGCCTTAACAAAATTAAAATATTTTGACATTGGCTTCTTGTTCCCTACATAATATAGTAAAATTACATTTTTATTTTGAATTATTAATTTATTAAAAAACACCAGTTGTCCTGCTTAAGCTCAAACTCACGGTTGCCATGAAACAAATAACTTTGATTGACAAATGTAATCAATTGCTCAACTTCTATGCTTGAAATAAATAACAGAAAAAAGTACAGAATTATTGTAATTGGAAAACTTGAATGCTGCAACACAAATTATGTAAGGAACTGATATCCGTGGGCGTGTGCAAAGGGCAATTTGAAAAGGTTTCAACTTTTCGGAAAGACAGCACCAAAACCACCCACAAAACATCGCAAAAACAATGGATGCCGGGAGTGCATCAGAGGTCTTTGATGCCGCTGTCAGTCTACTTAGTCTGCCGTCCGTAGCCTGGTTTAGATGCAAAAGCTTTTTTGCGTGCAGCGTCGTTGCAAGGGACAAAAGATATCCTGCAACTCCTGCGAGGAAGCGGGTCAAGGGTTGTGGGATGATCAAATCAGCGTGTTTATGACGTCTAAAGCTTTGAAAAGCCAGGGAGCTAGCTAGCTTAGTTCCATTTTAACCCAATTGTTGCTTTGCAAATTTGTGGTTTCTCCTAATAAATTATTAAAAGACTTTTTCACAAGATATTTGGGTCAAGAATAAAAGGATTTTATGTCTAAGTTAGCTGTTTTAGCCAGCTTTAGGCAAAACCTTAACAATATTTATAAATGGCTGCCCTGGCAAGAATTTCCTCCTAAAGGAATGCACCATCATTTTGGTAAGTAAAATGTTATACAAAAAATGGTTCGGCACGCTGAAAAAATAAAAAAATGCCTGTGTAGGCAAAATACCTGGACCGCTTCATCCAACATTTAAAAAATGTATTTATGCATTTCGACTATGCTTATTAATTTTTCGTCACAAAATTTGATATCACTTATTTTGTATGTTGAAGGTGTGATCGTCACGACTTTTCTGCTTGTTTTTGTTTGACTGATAGTTCAGAAAGAAAAAAACTTTATATACATTCATCAGATATGGTCTTAGATGGTACGCGAATAAGTCTAACGTTTCCCTTAAATTTGTTCCATATAAATATTGTTGTTTTTATTTTACAATATTTGCGGCTAAAAGAGATTGTGTATGAATCTTTGCCACTTACCGCGCAATATCTTTTTGTCGTGATGTCCGTGGCAGCGGTATCCTTGGCAGCTGCGTTTTTGCTGCAAAGTGGGGCAGTGTTTGCCCCCATTTTGGGCCGCCTGCAAGATCTGGCGGTTGCGGGTCATCATCCCAGTGCCGCAGCTCTTGTCACACTCGCTCCAGGCCCCGAAGTCGCCCACCTGGCAGTCCAGCACTGAAATTGACGAAAAAGTATGTTAGTTTGGTGTTGGTTAGTTTGAGGATGCTTTAGAAGTGAAAAACCGAAATCTAATGCCATTTGTTGACTCACAATACTAATTTACCTGAAATGCAGCCAACAGTTGGCAAATATTATAAACTATTTAATTTTTCTAGATGTTGAACTAGATGTTGAACTACCCAACTATTGACAAAGTGTAAAAACAACTAATGTTGTCTAGTGTAATTTACAGTTGACTAGAAACTAATGAACGTCTTTTCTGTTCAATAAATTGAATGAGGCAAGTCCTGAATTTCCACCCAAGACTCAAGGACGCTAGGCAAAGGAGCATTTATCGTAACTGGAACTAAGCCTACTTTAGACAAAGAATCTGGCAAATTGCAATTGACATGCCACTAAACGCACTTGCCGGCCACGCTCAAGTTTTTTAATTAAAAACGCTGCAGCAGGGAAAATTAATTAAAATCCATAAGCCTTGATTGCGCTACTGGCTGCCCAAAGCATTGGCTTTGTGCCTCTTGCATTTGCCTTCGGGACTAGCTAGTTGTTGGTGTTAATCAAGCCCCCCCAATTCCTTACCCCTGACCTCTGACACCCGACCCCTGACCCACTGAGTTGCCGGCAAGCGCTAATGAAGCCACAAAAAGCTTTCCACAAACGAATTGAAATTCGCCTCGGCTGCTTGCTCAGCTGTTGCATTGGGCGAAAAATTGACTATGGCTAATAATTTATAAAGTTTAGGTTCAATTTCGAATACTCTTTTGTTCACATTGCACTCAGGGAGGAATTTTTAACAGGTGAATTATATCAGCACATAACTCAAAAAAAAACAAGAAAGAAAGCAAACTTCGGCAAGCCGAAGTTCATATACCCTTGCAGCTATTGCAAGAATTAAACATTTTTGAAAACATTAAAATTATGATTTACTTTCGTATATGTTTAAAAACATTGAAGCTATGATGATTTGCAGCTCAATTATTTGATAGTTATTTTATATGTTTTTATTATTTCTAAGAGAGCTATATGATATAGACGACCGATTTTGATAAAATTTAAACCATAATTCTGAAATATTTAACCATTGCTATATGTCGAAGAACTAAACAAAAAATTAAAAAACAGAAAAGTTATAATTTTTTTCATTTATTTTTCCGATTGTTCCTATGAGAGCTATATGATATAGTCGTCCGACTTTGATGAAATTTAAACCGTAAATCGGAAATATTTAACCATTACTAAATGTCGAAGAACAAAACAAAAAAATAAAAAACAGAAAAGTTATAATTTTTTTTCATTTATTTTTCCGATTGTTCCTATGGGAGCTATATGCTATAGTCGTCCGATTTTGATGAAATTTAAACCGTAAATCGGAAATATTTAACCATTACTAAATGTCGAAGAACTAAATAAAAAATTGAAAAACAGCAAAGTTATAATTTTTTTCATTTATTTTTCCGATTGTTCCTATGGGAGCTATATGCTATAGTCGTCCGATTTTGATGAAATTTAAACCGTAAATCGGAAATATTTAACCATTACTAAATGTCGAAGAACTAAACAAAAAATTAAAAAACAGCAAAGTTATAATTTTTTTCATTTATTTTTCCGATTGTTCCTATGGGAGCTATATGCTATAGTCGTCCGATCCGGCTCGTTCCGACTTATATACTACCTGCAATAGAAAGACAACTTTTGGGAAAGTTTCATGCAGATAGCTTTAAAACTGAGAGACTAGTTTGCATATAAACGGACGGACAGACGGACAGACGGACAGACGGACAGACGGACATGGCTAGATCGACTCGCCTAGTGATGCTGATCAAGAATATATATACTTTATAGGGTCGGAGATGTCTCCTTCACTGCGTTGCAAACTTCTGACTGAAATTATAATACCCTCTGCAAGGGTATAAAAACATTTGCACAGCTACGTCGAAACATTTGCATTTAAAATTCAGAAATATAATTAGCAAAAAGTTTAGACTCTTTCACTAGGAAAAACTAAATGAGAAAACACACATAATTTATTTTTTCATTAGTAAATTCAAAAATAAAATCAATTGGTATTTGAATTTTACATTATCTTATGAGTGATCGTAAATGTAATTATGTTACTTTCAGTAGCTCAAGCATTTGTATATTTAATGTTCAATTTCATCGATAAAGTAAAGAAAACGCATCATTGGGAATTTAGGTAAATGGTTATGTCTTCCTAGCTTAATAGCTTTTTATGTAAGCAGACCTTATTCAGTAATCAGCTATGACTTATTTCAGGTACTAGCAAAGCTTTCTCTCCCAACCTTTAATATTTATTCATACTTTTTTCGCACAACGTTCTTCGATGCCAAGTTATCCTTGGTGCCAACTAAATTACGCGATCGCCGGCCCAACGGCATATCCAGGGGGTGATTTCGCGCAGTGCACCAAGGCAATTTATATTTCCATTTTCACCATCGACTCCCAGCTTTTCATTGTGGCCGCGCGAAATTAGAAGGACGAAAAGGAAGGACGAGATAAGGACGAAGGCGCCATTCGCGCGAACATAGCGCCGGGATAATAGAACTAAGTGCAGGAGCTGCCGCTTCTATCTGGGGGGTGGAATAAAACTAAAGTAGTTAAAATTATGATTGCATTGGCTCCAGCAACGGCTCCTTCACATTGTCCTCTTTTTTCCCGCCTTTTTCCCGCCCTTTTGCCGCCTTTTTCCCGCTTTTCCCCGATGACCGGGCGTTTAGCATATTGTGCGGGACCCATGAATGCGAATGCGGGCGAAGTTTCGCCCAGGAAAAAGGAGTTTGAACCGCTCAGCCAGTGCAGCCAGATCAGCTTTTATTCTACCTTTAATACATACTCTGTTCTTGAAAGATTTTACTTATAATATGTATTTTTTTTTTTTAACTTATAGATTTCCATAATGTTATTTGTTAGATAATATATGCTAACTGTATATATAATATGTATTTTCCTCCAATAAATGTGATATACTGATTTATTTAAGTCCCAAGTGGAATAATTTTATATGTTATTTATGTATTTGAATAATATTGTTTGGATAACCCATGTTCTTTAATGTCCATTAAATTTTTGTAAAATGTCAGTTATTCAAAATTGAAATAAATATAGATATATATATTTAAGGTTGGCCAACGGATTAATCAAATAAATTAATTCATGCCCTTGATGTATTCTGATCGATATTATATATGTAACTTAAATGACCTGTCAATATTTTAACCCAAGCCCATTAAAAGCTTAACAGCAAGTATAAATTAAAACGAGCACTACCACTCCTGCCAAAATCAGGACATCGATGGCAGCACTGACCCGCAACGACTCTGGGGCTTGTTGTGCCAATAAATGGCATTATGCTGCTTAGCAATCATGCCACTTGATTGTTGTGGCGCAGCGACAAGGAGTTCAAAATTAGATGGCCAGCAGGAGCAGAAACAGGAGCAGCCGTTGCAGCCGTTGCAGCCGTTGCAGCAGGTCCATTGCTTTCAGCCGTCGGGATACTATTCAGCGCTTAATACCTGCCTCCCTCGTCCTTGGTCCTTGGTCCTTGGTACTGCATCCTTTGTCCTGCCCCTTGCCACTTGCCCCTTGCCACTTGTCACTTGGCAGTTGGCAGTTGGCTGTTGGCCGCCCGGCAATTTGCCTGCCACGTCGACCGGGCTGAAAATTATAATGAATATGGCCATGACAGTGGGAGTGCGAATGATGAAGGCAGCCGCTGCTCTTAATAGACATACACTTTGATTGCATTCACTGCCAGCGGTCATTTTAGCCAACACTTTCTGGCGGAAGATCAGCGAGACTTAAACTAAAGGAAGTTTACGGAAGCTATTTGCCTTCCCAGCGAAATATACAAATTAAATTTTGGCAAATGAACATCTGTAGATCAAAGTATTTGGAAAAGTATTTATAATTTAAGTGAGTTAATATTAAATTGGAATTTTTTTTCTTTTGCTATTTCATTAAAACTAAACTTTGATTTCTTGTATTTATATTTGGAAAAACAAAAGTTTCTTACCAAAGTGAATAGTACTGTTAGGTCTTAAAACCTTGTAAAGAAATCAATCTCAGATGACAAGTAATTTAGCTTTCGTTGATATTTTTTATGTTTTAGTGTCTTTCAAAACGAATCGCAAGCGTTAAAGATTTATTTTTCGAGAATAAATATACCATAAAGAGTGGTCGAATCGATAAGTGAAACCCGTTTTATAGCTTCATTTAGGAACTATTTGAACAGTTTATGACCTAGCTATCGCTAAAGCGAATTGTCGAATTTAAACGGTGTGGACTGAGGGAAAACTCTGCGGCAAAGTCACAAATATTCCAGAATCGCAGCAGCTGCACTCGACTTGAGCACTTGTCACCGTGTTGTCGCTGATGCCATTACTGCTGACTACCGACTGCTGACTACCGACTGCTGACTGCTGATGTTGCCGCTGTGCAGCTGATGTTGCTGCCGTGCTGCAGGCATTGCTGCTGGGTCCGAACTTCCTTGGGGCTCACATGTACAACATAACTCACTGTCGCAGTTGTGGGAGCCAATGTGGGAGTCAATGTGGGGGGACTCCAACTGACCAGCAACCCAGGAGGGGCCAACACCACTCCCGATTCCCGATGGCGGCAACTGGAAAATGTTTGGCCCACCAAATGGACCAACAAGCTGGCCAAAACAGCACAACAAGGGGCCATGGTTATTTGTGGCCAGCGAAGTAAAACAAATGGCGTCAAATGCGGCTGCCGTGGTACCCAATGCACTTGAAGAATTTTCCATCACAGCCAACAAAAAATGCCTGCAACGGAATGCCAATTTTGGGCAAAACATACATACATTTTACAATTCAATTAAATCGAAATTGGCATGCTTGGTAAATCAGGACAAGAATCAATAACTACATTCGTTTCAAACCTTTTTTATTAGATTGTTGGTGAATAGGTGTACAATCATATTGGCAAATTACTATCAAATTTAAATTGAATTCTTA